CTTTTTTTTTTTTTTTTTTTTTTTTAGAGAGGGGCATCTCACTCTTGCTCAGACTGGTCTCAAACTTCTGAGCTCAAACAATCCTCCTGCCTTGGCCTCCCAGAGTGCTAGGATGACAGGCTTTAGCCACTGTGCCCAGTCTCGATTCTTTCCTGTGCTTTTTATGTGAGTGTTATATATAGAATCTTGGATCTTGCTTTTTTTGTTTTGTTTTTTGAGACAGAGTATCTCTCTCTCACCTCTGGGTAGAGTGCTGTGGCATCATACATAGCTCACAGCAAAAATTTTCTTTTGTTTTAAAATTTAATAATGTGATGTTAGCATTTTCCATATTATTGTATGTTCTGTGCAGAGTGATTTTAATGGCTATATAATATTCATCAGGAGATAACACCTTTCATCCCTAGGCTGCAAGTATTTAGTATGACTTGGGCAGGCCTTGTGCCCAGAGTTTTGCAGGCCACTATCTACCTATGGTTTCTGCCCTAGAGAAGCATATAGTTTTCCCCACTCAAGTCAGACATTCCTCAGTTTTTATAAATGTGAGGGGTGTAGGGAGGAGTATGTGGTGCTGTGAGTTCATATTAGAAGGTTATGACCTCATTTGGGCATGCAAGGAGGGCTTCTCAGAGGAAGAGTCAGACCTAACTGACTTCGTTACTTTCCTGTGGGTGTACTTTTAGGTCATCTCCAATTTTTGACTGTTATAAGGCTGCAGTAGCTGCACAGATGGTTTTTGATGTTTTATTTATTTTTAATTTTTTGTTTTTGAGACAGAATCTCATTTTGTCACCCTCGGTAGAGTGCCGTGGCGTCACAGCTCACAGCAACCTCAGACTCTTGGGCTCAAGCGATTCTCTTGCTTCAGTCTCCCAAGTAGCTCAGACTACAGGCACCTGTTACAACGCCTGGCTATTTTTAGAGATGGGGGTCTTGCTCTTGCTCAACGTGGTCTTGAACTCGTGAGCTCAAGCAATCCTACTGTATCAGCTTCCCAGAGTGCTAAGATTATAGGTGTGACCCACTGTGCCCAGCCTTGGTTTTGATATTTTAAATGATTTTCTTAGCATAGATTTCTAAGAAGGTAAACCCTGGCTCAGAGGGCATGGCTGTTATGATGGCATCACTTCCGTGTTGTAGCTCTCTTCCCATCTTGTGGTGTGTGAAATGCAATGATGACAGAACCTCAGGGTCCACCCATTGCCGTGGTCCCCAGCTCAGGGCAGTCAGCATCACCTGGGAACTTGTTAGAAATGCACTTTCTTGGCCCCCACCCCAGACGTGCTGAATCAGAAACTTCAGGGCAGATCCTGAGATCTGTGTTCTAATAGATGGGCCAGGTGCTTCTGAGATGCTGAAGTCTTACTCCATTTCCTCGGGGGAGCCTCAGACCCATCTGCATTTCTGGCTTCACAGGTCTTGGCTACATCTCACCAGAAATGTGGGGGAGGACTCTTTAGCTGCATTTAAATGTGGAAATCTAGACCCCTTGCAGGAGCCCTGGGCATTTCCTCAACTTAGAGATGAGGCCTTGGCTGTGCTTCTCTGCTAATAACCATGGATAATGTTCTGGGGCTAGGCTCTCCCTTGCAGGGTTAAATTAGGGTCATTTTTGTCCCGGATCTCTACTGTGAGTCACTCTGCTATCTCCCAGCTTCCTTCGTGATGGGGAAGTTGGGGGAGAATAGAGAAGAGGCCTCCTTTCTTGGGAATGAGCCACAAGATAGTTAACAACCAGCTGATGACTGTGGACACTGGGTTGAATCCCTGTGTGTGGCCACCTTGGGCTGAGCTAGATTTCCTAGGTGAGAGACTTGGTTTCTTCCTCTGTGGGGATCAGTGAGCCCCTGTGATAGTGTACGGTTTCAAATTACAACTCCCTGTAAAGCAGGTGGCCCTAGGAGTGCTTAGCTGTGCCCACCTGTGGGATCCAGGCCTCTGTTCCTGAGTTTTCCGAAAGGCTCCTTTCAGCTGGTTCTCAGGCCCAGCTGATGGGCCCACCCTTTTCCTTGTATCCCCACAGACGATTAAACTACCGGAGAGCCACAGGCAGCCTGCCGAGCCCCCAGAGCCTCAGGAGGCCCCCATGTGAGTAGATTGGGAAAAACAGTACTCTAGGGAGGGGCTGGGCTGGAGGGGCCTCTGGGATCCTGTCTGAGCTTGCAGACCTCCAAAGGGTCTGGGGGGAAGAGGGAGAAGAAGGCAGGGTGGGCTAGGGGCAGCTATTCCCTGGAGAGGACCTTACATATTTGGGACCCAGAGATGACACTAGGGAGTATGTTAACACCTCTCCCCAAATGGTGTGTAACCTGTGTATGTGTTTTGGAAAGGGTCCACAGTGCTCATTAGAGTCCCAGGGGCTCTCCAACCTTGAAAACTGAGGAAACACTGATATCGGAAGGGATCAGAGGAGCCCTTGAGTGACCCCATGCCTCCGTGTTAGGGATGCCAGATTTGGCAAATACAAATGAAGGATGCCCAGTTAAATTTGAATTTCAGTTGGATGATGAATTGTGTTTTAGCATAAACATGTCCTGTGCAGTATTTGGGACAGAGCTTATGCTAAGAAATTATGAGTTATTTATCTGAAATTTAAGTTTAATTGAGAGTCTTTTATTTTATCTGGCAACCCTATTCTGCGTAGCAACCCTTTTAGAAAACTCATCCGCTGGCCTTCCTGCCTTTTAACCATCGCAACAACCCCATGAAGTAGGCAGAGTGGGGCATCCCCTTTTCCAAGATGGAAAAATGGAGATTCACAAGGTTAAGTGAGAGGAGCTGGGCTTGGATTTCAGAAGGGCTGTGACCCATACAGAGAGGAAGCTTTTGTGGGGGCAGATCAAGGAGGGGGTTGGGGGGGCCTGAGCAGGCTCCCAGTGACCAGGGCACAGCTGGCATGAAGCTCTGCTCCCCCTGCTCCATCCTCTGCATCCGCATTTTCCTGAACAGTTTCCAAAGCCAGACAAGAAAGAGCAGGTCCGATTCCCTCTGCAAGGTCCTGGAGTGAGCTGCCAAGGGCCACTTTTCCAGACTTGCTGTCAGGTTGCAAGGGTGGCTGAGTGTGCTGGCCTTGAGGCTGCTTACGCCAGTGATAAGCTGGCTTTCTCTGGGCTGCTAATGAGACACACACAAGAAGACTAATTAGAGCAGGTCTTGGGGTTTAATAACAAACTAACTCGGATCACAGGTTTGTTGGAGGAGAGAGAGAGGCCAGATGGTGGGCTCCGCAGGAGCCCAGGGCTGTGGCTGCCTATCAGCCGCAAGGCCTCTGCTCCCCTCCACTAACGCTGTTCCATCTGTCTTTTGTGCAAACCGCAGATGATCAGCCTTGTGACAAAGGTAGGCCTGGCATTTGTCCTCTGTGCATACAGGCATGGTCTCTTTTCTGTGGAATGTCTAGGGCTGGAGGGGCTCTCCTCCCGCCATGCCTGTGCCTCTCCGGCACTCTATACACCTCTCCCTACCCAGCCAGCTTGACCGGCCTATTCCACGAGGTGGGCAAAGCTGGTAGGAACAGGGTTCAAGGCCTGGGAGCCCTTCCCTGGCCACCTGGCATGCAAGACCCAACCTTCCCTGTGCCTGGGCTGGGTAGGAGATAGGAGTCGGAAGGGTGGAGCAGGGAGGACTGCATCCTCCTTCCTCATTCACACTGATCTTAACTCAGGGCCTGGGAAAGCCTGATGGGGTCCTAAGCACAGAGAACTGAATGAAGCAAAAGAAGAGCTGGTTTTCCTGGGCAGCTAGGACATGGCATTTCCTCTGAGCTCCCCTGAGACACCATCCCGGAGGGCTCTTCCTGCCTGGCCATCAGGTGCCAGCCAGGCCCCTCTGGGCTGGCTGTGGTCCAGTGGAACTTATTGACTTCCCTCCCTCTGTTTGGTTCCCAGAGACCTGTGACTGTGAGGGGTACCTCAAAGGGCACTATGTGGGTAAGTACCAGGCTTCTCTTCCCTGACACCCCTGTCCCCTTGCACAGCCTGCCCCAGCTTGGCCTCCAGAACCCTTGAGAGCAGCTGAGCCTGTGGGACCCACATCTCCCCTTAGTGTCTATCAGCCAGAGGAGGGGCTGAGCCTCTGGGCTTTGGGCCCCCAGCCAACCACTGGGCACAGAGAGGGACACAGACCCCTCCATTATTACCAATTTTACCATCATCAGCATCCTAATTGGAGTTTATTCAGTGTTAACACTACCACCACACAGCCAGGTACTCCAAAGTACCTTTACTTTTTTTATTTTGGTCAGTTTTTTCAAAGGCCTTAGAGATAGGCAAAGAGCTTTTTAACTTTTGTTTTGAAGTAATTTCAAACTTACTGAAAAGTTGTAAGAATTGTACCAAGAACTCCCCCATACGCAACACCCAGATTCAATTGTTCATACTTTGCCAAGTTTTCTTCGTCACTGGCTTTTCTACAAAGCAGCATTTTCCTCCTGAGTCACAGGAGCGTGAGTTTGTAGACATCATATCCCTTTACCCCCAAATCCCTCAGCATGTGTTTCTCAAAGCCAAGGACATTCTCAGGGCAATTATAAAATTCTGGGAATTTAACATGTGTACAATTCTATTATCTTGTATACTGTCATTAAAATTTCATCCTTTGTGCCAATAATATCCTTTAGAGCATCTGCTCCTGGTCCAGGATTTGATCTCAGACTACAACATACTCAGCTCTGCTGCTGTAGTGCAAGCACAGCCAAAGATAACATACAGAGGAATAGACATGACTGTATTCCAATAAAACTTTATTCACAAATTGAGACAGTGGCCCAGATTTGGCCTATTGACCTCTGCTTATTGATCTTTGCCACAGGTACCAGGTTCTTGTCTAAGAATTACCCCTATACCAGGGGTAATATAAAAAACAAAACAAAATACTACCTAACATTGGGTTGGTCAGAGCAGGACATAGAAAGTAAAGAACAATTGGAATCACACTCTGAAATAGAATCATTTGCCATACTTGTCAGAAATGAACTGGAAAGATGAGGGCGTGTTCCCTCTAGCGCTGTGAGGGCGCTGTGGCTCTTGCACCCTGGGTTGTGTTGCCTCCAGCCCAGGGGCTTTTCCCTCTAGCGCCCTGAGGGGGTGTTGTCTCTGCGCCCTGGGGGCGGTTTCCCTGAAGCCCCCCGGGTGCGAGTTGACTCTGCGCCCTTGGGGCGTTTTCTGTGGGGCTCCCTGGGGGCGTTTTCCCTCGGGCGAGTGGAGGGAGGAGGATTGGAGGGATCAACAGTGATCTTGAATCCTAGTTTGTGGATGCCAGGGGTCACCCTGTCATTGCGTTACTGTGCCTCCTGACCAACCTTCCTGTATCAGGAGTAGGTTGGGAGGAGTCAGGAGGACTCAGTACTACCTCCAAGTCTGGAGAAAGTACTTACTTTTTCCTGTGAGATCCTGGGACAAATGCCACAGGGTCCCTCTTCTCCCTCTTCTAAGCTGGTCTTCGGAGGAGTTTCCGGCTGGGCTGCAGGGAGAGGCCAGGAGGCTCACAGGAAGGGAAAGTGTCCTCGGTAGCTGAGCCTCCAGAGCTGCTGACCTACGAAGAGGTGACCAGGTACCAATACCAGCCTGGAGAGCGGCCTCGCCTGGTGGTTCTGATCGGTAGGTGATGTCTTGGGTTTCCTGAGAGGGGGCTTGTTTCCTCCCCAGGGGTTGGGGAGGGAGCTCAGCAGGGAACCTGGACAGCCTTCCCTTTGTTTCCCAGGGTCTCTGGGAGCCGGACTGCATGAGCTGAAGCAAAAGGTGGTGGCTGAGAACCCACAGCACTTTGGTGTTGCTGTTCCACGTAAGAGGGTCCATGTGGGGTGTAGGTTTGTGTGGACAAACATGAATATTTCATGGGCACTTAAACTCTCTAGATCTATCTTCATCCCTTTTTTTGGGTCTGAGGGACTGCTAGGCACTGTTTGCTCTAGGCAAGTTGTGGGATGGAGGCATGATGGGAAGAAACCCATTCTCAGTGGTCTATTAGAACCCTATGAGACGGAAGCTGGAGGACCAGCTGTCTGTTTCTGCCTGAGTTAGGAGGTGAGTCCAGAGCACACTGCAGGCAAAGTGAAAGACTCAGCCTGACCCTGGCCCCCTATCCCACTGTGATAGAGGATATTCCAACTCCCTCCTCATACTGACCCTGACTCCTGTGACCTCTGCCCTCTGCTCAAGTAAGTGAGCTGGTCAGAGAAGCTGGAGTGTCCAGTGGGTGGTGTTGCTAATGCCCTCCCTGTGGCTGCCTTCTAGACTGGCAGGGTGCCTGGGCACATCCCTGGGTGATCCACCCCTGATGATTCTTGAGGTTTCCTGTTGCTAGAGGGAGCTGGGATGCCAAGCTCCAGTGGGTGGAGGGATTCTGGTTCTGAATGTGGTTATGAGGAGGAGGAGGAAGAAGAGAGTCAGGCACTCTTCCTTATGTGCAGTAACTTGGTCAGCCCACCCAGTCCCCTTGGGAAGGAGGATTATTACCCTCCTGAAAAACAGAGGAAGGGACTGAGGCTCCCATGTGTTCTTTTTCTGTGGAAGACCAGATTTTCCCCAGAAGCATGCATCTCAGTTCTATTATGGAAATCACTATATGTTTTTAAATTTTTATTTGGGAGTCGCCTTGTTGAAACATAACTAATCCATAAAAGGACTGTCTGTCTTCATATTTCCTTTTCTCTCCATATGAGAAATAATTGAATAAAGAAATAAGAGCATATATCAGGATCAAATGCATTTGTGGTTCCTTTGCTTTCATAAAAGAAAAACAATGAAGAAATAAAAGCTAGGACAGGGGGTCTCGCCAGTGATTATTTCAAAGCCACAACATCTGTGAGACAGTGTAGCAGAGTGGTTAAGGGTATATGCTTGGCATGTGACAGAGAGACTGATGTTGGCTTTGCCACCTACTGGGTGTGAATAATTGGGGATGATGCCTAATCCCTCTGCACCTCAATTTTCTTGGCATTAAAACATGAGGCCTCCTTTTTCCTATATCAGAGAGTTATGAGAATCAGTAATGTATCTGGAAAAGCAGAGAGCCCGCTGAATGGAAGTGGTTGCTTTATACACACAAATCAGCAATGACCTACTGAATGAGGGCACAGGCTTGTACCTGTCCCCCTCTCACTATGATGTGACATCTCTTTGCCCAGCTTTCCTTCTTTTTTTCTTTAAAAGACACCACCAGGCCCAGAAAGAGCCATGAGAAGGACGGAGTGGAATATCACTTTGTTTCTAAGCAAGCATTTGAGGCCGACATACATCAGAACAAGTATGTTGCTTGATGGGCCAGTTGGCCCTTGGGGCAGCGGTGGGACTTTGTATCTGCCCCACACTCCACTGGACCTCCTAGTGAGGGGGCTTCCAGAAAGGATGGGGAAGTAGGAGAAAAGTGTGTTGTGAGGTCTCCTTTTCTTTGCTAATTCAGGAAAACTCAGGAACTAAAGGTCTTTTCTCCTTTGGTGGCATTTCAGGTTCCTAGAACATGGCGAATATAAGGAGAATCTGTATGGGACCAGCCTGGATGCCATTCAGGCTGTTCTGGCCAAAAACAAAGTTTGTGTGGTGGACGTGGAACCGGAAGTGAGTTTCTGGACCGGTTGGGCAATTCCAGTTAATGAAATTTTTAACCTAGAAGGTTGTACATCTTATGGAACACTTGACCTTAGACTAAGGAATTGTTAGTCTAGCGTGCTGGACCTTAAATTTCCTTGGATCCCCTTTAAGAATCTAATGAAACCTTTGTATCCCAAAGTGTGCCCCTCTGTCCACAAATACCACATGAATTGTGGGGAACTTGTGGATCTTCTGGTGGTCCACAGACCCTACTGGTAGCCCCTGAATGGAGCGAGTCACCCAATAGGCGGAGGCACTGATTGGCCATTATGACATAGCTGAGAATTAGATGTAAATACCCAGGGGTTGAGCTTGTGGCACTAGGCCACTCCTGTCCCCCAACCATAGCAGGCAGAATCAGTGACTTAGGGGGCCAATGAGGGAGGCAGGCAGTCGAACAGCTTGAAAGGGAAAAAGAGGGAGGAAGACATGACCCTGAAAAGTGCTTCAAAAACATTTCCAGTTCTGCACACACAGCATGCTGCAGGCTCTGCAGGGGCTCAACAGTCCTTTTAACCTTGTCTTTCAGAAAAACTTCCAAGCTTTGAACTCAATCTGGGCTTTTTTTTTTCTTCTATAGAAACAGATCTCTGATTTTCTGATATAAACCATGGGTTTTATTTTATAAAAGTTTGCTTGAAACATTTTCCCCAAATCACATTATACCTACAAAGGAAAACTCCCACTGATTTGGACTTATGGAGAGTTAGTAGTCAAAATTGAAAGTCTAAATTTAAAAAATTTTTTGAAAAGTGATTTTATAGATTTGGGGGCAAAGTTCAGATAGGGCATATATAGCATTTTAATAACACTACAAATAGAGGCAGTTGCAGTATAGGTAAAATGCACTGATTAACATGATTTGCACATCTAACCCTCTGGTTTATTTCAGGTAACCTCTTAGGAGATCTCGTTTGCTTTGCAAACCTTTTCTTCTTTGACTATCTGGAGGAGGGCAAGGTGGTAGCATAAATTGTGCATTAGCGTAGTCCAAATTGATGAAGTTTAACTAGATAGATACACATCCTTGTCCTCCATCAGGAGTGTCAGGAGCCAGCGGGGGAGAAGGACTACAAAGGTTAATTAGAGCTGGAGGGGTCAGAACTAAGAGAGACAGTAACTCTGAGTTGATGCTTTTTCCTAGCCTTTTTCCCTCCAGGGCCCGGCTGAGTTCAGTGTCAAAGTGAAGGATAAGAAAACAGGCAGTTGATCTACCCAGTTGAAGTCTATTGTCGTGGGACCAGTGTAACTGGAACCTTTGCCGTTGAGGTTATGGGATTGAAGCACACAAGTATTGAGCTCTGAAAAGTATCTTTCACAATAAGATATTTCAAAAGTATATGATCCCAAACTTTCTTTCTCAGGCACTGAAACAACTGAGGACCTCAGAGTTCAAACCCTATATTGTATTTGTAAAACCTGCCATCCAGGAAAAAAGAAAGACGCCACCTATGTCCCCAGCTTGTGAGGACACAGCAGCCCCACTTGTAAGTTTAAAGTTGGTCATTTCTTTTCTGAAGGCCTACAGAAGGCTGTTAAAGCATAAGGGTGCTTGAAGCTGAAGAGGGACAGGACAGATCTCTGTACAAGGCCATTTTTGCATTTTGCCTATTGGCAAAACTTAGAGGAGATGGTCATATGGCCAGAAGGCTCACAGTGGAATATCCAGAAGTGCCTCCCAAACCAGGCAGGGGTGACTTTGGCTGGGCTTAATACCTGCCATTCTCTAGTGTAAGCACCCTTCCCTCAAATATGACATCTGTCAGGGACCTGTTCTGAGTGTGACAAACTATATTCATCTCTTAAACTCCTAAGCCAAAGCCCAGTATTTTCAAATTGCAATGCCAACTAACCAGGTCATTATGATTGCTTTCAAACTAGTTTGAATCATCAGAGAATTAATCGATTTCTAAAACTAGTGGATGAGATCATCCAATGTGCTCCTAAATGAACTTCTGGTTCACTGTCACAGATTCTTTGTTCCACCCAGTGTGTGTCAGGACCCTCACCCTGAACCTAAATATTTGACCGAGTTCTTCCAGTAGACATGGGCTGGGTGACTTATTTTTTCTGGTTCTCAGCAAGGTTGGTTAGGGGAATGAAAGGAGAGTTGTGGTTAGGGGGAGGGCTCTAAAGGAAACCAGTTCCAGAGTAGACTTTGCTTGCTGTCTAGTACAGCTGGTTTCATCTGAAAAGAAGCCCTCTTAGCTCCTTTCCCTTGGTCAAGAAGCTCCCTCCAAGTAAAAATTTTGATGCAATCCTAGTTGATATTAATTTTCTATTTTGATTGTCCACATCAATATATTATTTAGAATGATGTGCCTAGAAGGGACATTAGAAATGTTTTCCTTTAGGAACTCTAAGGAGATCATCGGCTTAGTCTAGAATCACTTAGAAACATACAATATGTTCATCATGGTGGTGATCATACCAATAATGAAAAAATGAACAACAGCCTAAATGTTCAGTAGCAGGGCTCAGTTTAATATACTCCATTACATGACACTCGCAGGAGGGAATGGAATATTACTGTAGCAAACTAAAATCCTGTGTTTGAGGAATATTTGATGACACAGCCAAATATAATAAAATGTTAAATGGAAATAAATCAGAAAATTAAAAATTAGTTTAATTTTATGTCACACACACAAAAAGTACATTAAAATGCTAAAGGTAGTTCTCCCTGAATAGTGGGCTCATGACTAATTTTTTTTCCTTTTCTGTGTTTTACTATATTATTTTTGTTTTGTTTTGTTTTTAGAGAGGAGAGTAAATAGCTTTATTGAGAGAAAATTCACATGTGGTACAGTTCATCTGTTTCAAGTGTACAATTCACTGATCCTTTCATAGAGCTGTTGTCATTACCATGGTCAATTAAATTAATTATTATTATTATTATTTTGAGACAGAGTCTCACTATGTTGCCCTTGGTAGAGTGACGTGGCATCACAGCTCACAGCAACCTCAAACTCTTGGGCTTAAGTGTTTCTCTTGCCTCAGCCTCCCAAGTAGCTGAGATTACAGGCACTGCCACAACGCCTGGCTATTTTTTTGTTGCAGTTGTTTAGCTGGCCCAGGCCGGGTTCTAACCCATCACTCTCAATGTATGTGGCTGGAGCCATAACCGCTGTGGGACGAGTGCAGAGCCAGCCACAGTCAATTTAAGAGCATTTTCACCATCCCCAAAAGAAACCTGAGCCCACTAGAATGTCCCATTCTGTTTGCCTTTAACCCCTTCTTAGCCGCAGGCAACGGCTAATCTCCTTCCTGTCATTATAGATTTGTTTATCCTAAACATTACATATAAATGGAATCATACAGTATGTCACCGCTACATCTGGCTTCTTTCAATGAATATAATGTTTTTATAGTTCATTCATCGTATATCACTTCTTCATTCTTTTTTATGGCTAAATAATATTCCAAACATCATATCTTGTTTATCCATTCATCACCTAATGGACATTTAGGTTATTTCTACTTTTTAAGCTATTATGAATAATGTTATGAATATTCATGTACAAGTTTGAATGTATACATGTTTTCATTTCTCTCGGGTGTATTCCTAGGTATGGAATTGAGGGATTATATGGTAACTCTCTGCTTAACAACTGGAAGAGCTGCCGATCTCTCTTCCATGGCAACTGCACCATTTTACATTCCAGCACTGTTCATGATTCTAATGTCTCCACATCCTCACGAACACTTGTTATTGTCTTTTTGATTATAGCCCCACTACTGGGCCTGGTGTCTCATTGTTGTTTAAATTTGCATGTTTCTAATGATCGATGTTAAGTCTCTTTTCATGTGTTTGTTGGCCAAAAAAAAAAAAAAGGATTTGTTTCTGAACTTTGAATTCTATTCCGTTAACCTTTATGTCTCTCTTTATGCCAATACCACACTGTCTTAATTACTAGCAGCTTTTGTAGTAAGTTTTGAAATCAGGAAGTGTGAGACTTCTAATTTCGTTCTTCTTTTTCAAGATTCATTTGGCTATTCTAGGTTCTTTGTGCAGCCATATGAATTTTAGGATCATATTGGTCCAATTGTTTTGCTATATTTTGGGGGGATTTGTCTTGTTTTACAAATATTTTAGGATTGAAAGAATTTAATAACTGGGGGGAAGCCTTTTTTAAAAAGTGTCAGGAAGACATAAAGGAAATAAGAGGCAGCTTCCTAGGACACAAAGAAAATTCTGCCTAATTGTCAAGCCCATAGAAGTGCCAGCTTTCTGGGATTCAAAAGCCTTCTTAGCCCAGGGTTGTCCAAGAGAAGCAGAACTTCAGTCTGTTACCAGTGTCCTCCCAGCCTGACCAGTTTTGTTATCTATTCCATCTCCTTTGTTACCCACCCAAATGCTGCTCTTCAAGCAGGTGGGCCGATGATGACCCGCAGCCAGCCAATGGGCTTCACCCATTGGGTTTCACTGCCAGTTCACCTGCCAGTTGTAAAATCCCATCTTGCTCCTCTAGTGTCTCCAGACCCTGCAGTCATGGTTCTTTTTTTCCCTTTACATCAAAAGCTATAAACCACAGTCATTTTCAACATGAGCAGGCAGCAAGGTCACAGGGAGGCTGTTCAGCTACAGAGTCCCTGGCTCTACTCCCAGAGATCCTGATGTAGGAGATTTGGAGTGGGGCTCAGTCATCTCCATTTTTAACACACATCTTTTCATGCGATTTCAAATATGTAGGCAGACCCCAGACTCCAATTTTGGAGAAATTTCTCACAATGACCTGAGTTTTGTGTGATGCTGAGTATTTGTTCATTATCTGGCACCTGAAGTTCAGTAGGGGAACCTATTACATAAAACACCTTGTAGTCACAGTCTCTGTCTTTCCTGCCTGCAAGTTAATAGAGCTTCTGCCTTCTGATCCAGCAAGCTAATCTAACAGGGGGGCAGCACATGAGAGATCTTTCCTATGGGATCTTCAGGACTGTGAGTTTCTTGCTGAAGTCACAAGTGGGCGAGTTCCACCTTTACAGGCCAGGAAAATGGTTCAGGGCATTTATGGGTGCAAAGCAAATGTCACATCACATTATTTTACTCCATTAGAGATTTATTTGAGTTCTTTCCACACACCAATATTTATTAGGAACATCGCGGTATTTAGTGGCAAAAATTTACCTTTTATACTTTCTTAAATAGCTAAATGCTTCCAGGATGGAGCAGGAGGAGGAGAAACTCTGGAAGCAGCAGACAGGCCCGAACATCCTGTGTGTGTGTGTAAGGGCTGTGGAAGGTGGGATTGACGATCTACTCTGGGACACTGCAGACTGATTCTGAGTATAAGAGTAGCCCTACTAGAATATTCTATATAGGATATAGAATTTGGAAGCATCTCCCAATTTAACCCAGTTATTTCCATCCTCGGAGAAAGAAGAGAAGAATTTATCTCAGACTTCTCTTAAGTTTCCACTGTCTTTGTAGTAGCAAGCAAAAACTGTTTGCTGGACCTTTAGAACTCATCTCTTGACATTGTAGGTGTTCTGACTAGGGCAGGAATTGAGTTCGGTGACAGAAGAGCTGGGAATATTTTGGAATGTGAGTCTCTTTGGGACAGGATAGAACTTAGCCTTTTCCCTCATGGCAGCATGAAGACACTGAGTCCCTAAAAGCAGAGGAGGGAAGGCAAAGGGAGCTCGAAAGGGACAGGAAGGGAAGTGGGTGAATGCCAGAGACAAATTTCATTGTGTCATTTTACTTAGAGTGGATCCGCCTCTTTCATTTCTTCCAAAACCCAAGCTAATTGTCAGTCAGCTACTCACTGAAATTCTACTTATTAGAGGTTCTTTTGAATGAAGAACCCAATAGTGCTCACGTTGGGTAAGATGGGGTTGTTTTCTATACTTTAATGTTAGATATCAGAAAGGAAATCTGATTAAAGAAACCAGGTGGTCTAAGGAAACAGGGGATTTGATTAGAATTGTCCCAGGACTTTCTTAAATAACTTTAATTTGTCTACTGTGCTAATGTTTGGTCCTGTGAGTTCTACATGATGAATTCAGGAGTCTTCAGAAGAGCATTAGAGTTCTTCTCCTTCTCCTTACCCCCATTGATTCCAGAAATGCTAACTTTGCTTTTATGTAGTTAATATTATATATATATACACACACACACACACATATATATATATACACACACATACACACACATACATACAGAGTCTCATTACGTTGCCCTTGGTAGAGTGCCGTGGTGTCACAGCTCACAGCAACTTCAAACTCTTGGGCTTAAGCAATTCTCTTGCCTCAGCCTCCCAAATAGCTGGGACTATAGGTGACCACCACAATGCCCAGCTATTTTGTTTTTGTTGTCATTGTTGGTTAGCTGGCCCAGGCTGGGTTCGAACCCACCAGCCTCATGCATGTGGCCAACACCCTAACCACGGAGCTATGGGTGCCAAGCCTGTATGTCCTTCTTATAATTATTTAACCTGTATACCAAATTGCCATGTAACATAATAACACTTCTTTGGAAATACTTGAGGGGCAGGCAATGTGATATTGACATATAAACATAGATATGGAATCAGCATCCCCTAAAGCCCTTCTTATCACAGATTTCAGTTCATAGGTCCTCAGGAGGTGTTTTTTGAGACAGAGTCTCACTGTGTCACCCTCAGTAGGGTGCTGTGGCATCACAGCTCACAGCAACCTCCAACTTTTGGGCTTAAGCGATTCTCTTGCTTCAGCCTCCCAAGTAGCTGGGACTACGATGCCCGCCACAATGCCTGGCTATTCTTGTTGTTGTTGTTGTAGTTGTCATTGTTGTTTGGCAGGCCTGGGTCCACGTATGTGTCTGGGGCCTTAGCTGCTGAACTACAGGCTCCCCTCAGCAGGTATTTTGTGAGTGAGTGCATGAGCAGTGATTACTGCTTTTAACTTTCTTTAACATTTGATGTGATGTCTCTACTTGCTGTTCTCGTGTACCCAATTGGTTAATAGTGGGGCGTAGGCATCCATTCATCACTTAAAAATTTAAAGTTGGAACATTTCTCAAGACAAAGGCTGTAGTTTCTTACAGGAGAACAGCCCAGTTGCTCCATGCTGCCTCTTTCCTTTCAGGACGAGGAGCAGCAAGAGATGGCCATGTCTGCTGCCTTCATAGACCAGCATTATGGGCACCTGGTGGACGCCGTGCTGGTGAAAGAGGATCTCCAGGGCGCTTACAGCCAGCTCAAAGTGGTCTTAGAGAAGCTGAGCAAGGACACTTACTGGGTACCTATTAGTTGGGTCAGGTAACTTTATCCCAGAACAGCCAGGCTGAACTGGACTTTGATGACCATATAGTCCAGCCTCTTTCATTTCACCATTGAGGAATCTCAAGTGCAGAGAGGGGCAGAATTTTCCACAAATTCCATCACTAAGAAGAATATAAGCGAGAAGTCTTGTTCATTGTTGGTTTTGTCTGTTGTTTTTCACTGCCCTTCTTGGGATCTTGAGTCGAAAGGGGCATATCAAAAAACAACAACACATTTCATTCATTAAAGTATCACAGGAAAGTTGACCCTGATTTTTTGTACCAAAGTTAAGTAGCCACTGTCTTTTGGGGGTGGTGGTGGTTAATTTATACAGTACTGATTTGTAGAGATGTTTAAGCTTTATAAACATAGCAACTCTTCATCTATGTAATTTTTTTGGAAGCTGTTGTTTTACCCAAGAAGATTTTCCATGCAGCTGAAGTTTTCCTGTTTTCAAGCACCAAAATGTTGATTTTTAACTCTTTTTTTTTTTTTGATAGTGAGTGCTTGCCTGATAATAAAAAACTTGGCTCTCTGCTTTTTTCAAATAGTGAGCCCATGTGACCTTTTTCTGGAAGACTGAGGCACACTTCACCATGAACATGAATTACTGTGCTATTCTATAATACAGTGGTGCCTTCAGGGACTCCTGAGGAGTGTAAGGCTGCTTTTTCCCTTTCTAAATACCCTCAGATTCCTAAAACTGAGCCCTTGCTTTGTTTTAATCTGTTCTGTGTCATCAGTTGTCTTTCGTGTTACTGACAATTACCTTGGTTCTAGCCTGTCCCTACTTTCAGATTATCGGGGCTCTCATTGTGCTGGATCATGGGAAACCAGATGACTCCCCCTATGTCTAAGCCATGGTAAAGCATTTCTGACAAAATAAAAGTATATAGACTCAGAGTGTGGGCCTGATGGGTTGTCTCTGAGCAAGAATGATGAATGTCACACAAGATCAGTGTTTTTCTTAGCTGCCCAGATAATTTTATTTGTTAATAGTAGCCAACATTTGTCTGTCTTTGTTCTGTGCTGGATGCTGTGCTGAGGCCTTTATGTACATTTCCTTAGCAATTATACCAAGCCAATGGGGTAGGATTCTTACCATCCTATTATATGAATGGGAACCAAATAAAGATTAGAAAGTTTAAATAATGTGCCCAAGATTCCATCGTTTAAAAAAAAATGGCAGAGCTATGGTATTTGAGCCTAAATCTCCCAAGTACCAGGGATGATCATAACCACTGTATTATCCTTGTGGTCTCATAACTGAAGCTACTCATTAATATAACTGACTTACCAGTGAGGAATATGTTCAGGACTAGAATTAACAATATGCAGTCTGGTTTTAACTTCTAAGACTTAAAAGAAGCTGCTTACACATGCGTACGTTTTCACGCACTTTTACTCATGAGAAGAAAAGGAGGTCAGGTTTAAGGCAAAGCAGGAGGAAGAAGGCTTGCTGCTCATTTAGAAATTTGTACTTCACCTTCTTACAAAAGGACACTTTTGCAGTTCCCTAGCTCATGAACTGATAGGTCTACCAACCAGGGTCACATTCTTCAGAACTTTCTAGCAAAAGGATGGGGACTTCTATGTATTATGTATTTACAGGGTATTAGATTCTTATCCAGTGAAATTGGTCTTGAGCTGTTCCACAGGGAACCAGGCCAGAGAGGTTGGCCACCCCCAGAAGCATAAATGGCACGTGCAAGGTTGTCATACAGGAAAGCGGGGATCTAAAGGCTACTCACAGGCAAAACAAAACAATCCCTCATAAGTAAAAATTACTCTTGAAAATCCCGTATAGAGGCAACATGATGGAGAACTCAGAAGTCTCATCTGGATAGTTTTTCTTTTAGTGTTAGAATATAGTGGTTGAGAACCAGGTGACTTTTTTTTCTGTGTTTTCATAGCACTCAACTGACATTTTCCACTGCTTACATAATATCTTTATACAATTGTCAGATGAAATGGTAGTAATTCTCTTTACATGTATTTTTTTTACACGTATCTTTTTACATGTATTTTTACATGTATCTCACTCTGTTGCCCTAGGTAGAATGCCATGGCATCATAGCTTATAGCAACCTAAAAATCTTGGGCTTGAGCCTCAAACCCTTGGGCGAGGAGCAATCCTTTTGCTTCTGCCTCTTGAGTAGCTGGGACTACAGGCACCTGCCATAATTCCCAGCTAGTTTTTCTGTTTTTAATAGAGACAGGCTCTCTTTCTCAGGCTGGTTTTGAACTCTTGAGCTCAAGCAATCCACCCACCTCAGCCTCCCAGCATGCTGGGATTAGAGGCATAAGCCACTGCACCCAGCTCTTTACATGTGTTATGAAGTGAGGTTATAAAATGTGATGGTTGCTTTATTTTCTGTCAAGGCAACCTCCTATCCCCAAGACCAGCTGTGTCTATAGCTTTTTGTCTGCTACTTAGATCTGTGAGAATAGAAAGGATAGGGCCCTAGAGACAGAGGTCATTTGGAAGTTGTTTTTGCAGCTCATGAAAAGCAGAAAACTGTTGTTTTAAAAAATGCGTCTTGTTTACAAATTTGTATTGTTGGAATATATGTAAATGTAAACCCAAGTCTCACTCCAACTAGCAGTACGTATATTCTTAGTCCTTGGGCAAAATTTTTGAAGAAGTCCATCACCCTGGGCCCCTACACCAATAAATCTCCTTATTACAAATCCCTCAAGATGTACCTTTTTTAATTCTTGAGTCTTCAAACACAGGTAAGTTCTCTGTGTTTACTACAAGAAAGAATGTGAGCTTTAGAGGAATTTTCTAGAGTAGGGTTGTTAAATGGGTGACATATGTACTGCAACTGCCCATACCTGCACCTGTGCAGACATCACTAATTGATCATGGCACTCTCCTGTTAATTCTAGTTACTGCCTTTGGATCTTTCAGGATACAGTGTTCAGTTTCAATTAAGTGTAGTTAGCAAATGAGCTAATCTCATTTTCCATCCTTGATCCAGTGATTTATAACTTTAGCCTGCCACCTACTCCACTCTCTGCACAAGATGGGTTTAAGAAAGTTAAAAACCATCTGTCATTCACAGGCAGTGCTCAGATATGTTAAACATTAGCCATTGTGCTTTTTACTATTGTATGTACAGATACGCACATGTTTTAAAATCAATTCTATATCCACCTATCTAGTGTCACCACATTTATGCTACCCATCACAGGATCATGCATCCGGACAATGAGAGCATTTGATGACTTATTTAATAACCACAGACTTCAGTATATGCACAAAGCCTAGTTTTAATTAGATAAGAACTAATAAGCAGCATTTCTCTATTTGGTGGAGTTAATACTGATCAGTAGGTTACTCCATGTTTTTTTGCCCTTTGAAAACAATCATCAACCATTGCCTCCTTTAAAAGTCAGGTTTGTGGTTTCAGAACAAGGTGGTATAGATCAGTGGTTCTCAACCTTCCTAATTGACATGTTGTTACAAATGGAAAAAAGAGGTCATGACCCACAGGTTGAGAACCACTGATATAGATTCTCTTCTTATTCCTCTTTGCCTCTATTTTTTTTTTTTTTGAGACAGAGTCTCACTTTGTCACCCTCAGTAGAGTGCCATGGCCTCATGCTCACAGCAACCTCAAACTCTTGGGTTCAAGCAATTCTTTTTCCTCAGCCTCCCAAGTACCTAGAACTACAGGCACCAGCCACAATGCCCTGCTATTTAAGAGATGGGGTCTTTCTCTAGCTCAGGCTGGTCTTGAATCTGTGAGCTCAGGTGATCCTCCGGCTTCAACCTCCCAGAGTGCTAGGATTACAGGCATGAGCCACTGCACCTGGCCTCTTTGCCTCTAAATACAAATAAATACCTTGGAAGTTATTCAAAAGTCAATGATAGAAGGACTTTGGAAGCTGGAAAGAAGATGGCGAGCTAACTAGGGACCTCAAGACTTGAGAAACAACAATATGGTGACTGGCTTATTTTTTTTATCTCATGTATACCCAAGACTGGGCTCTGGAGAGATCTGCAACCCAGAACTGCCATGGGCATAGACAGAAGAAACAAACAAAGTAAAACCAAGAAAAGCTTCCTTTCTCTGGCTAAAAGGGTGGGGAAGGTGACGTCCATAGAGACCTAGTGGAGATCTTGAACCTTAGCTCCAAACTGGGTCAGTAGCAGGTTGCTCGATGCTTCACCAGCAGCAGTGGAGTGTTGTGTCTCTCTGCTCTACCCAGTAGCATATGGAGACCTAGGTCTAGCAGTCCTGGTCACTCCTCTGCAGAAGGTTGTCCAGTGACACCATGCAACCCAAGGAAGCACCTTCTGGTAGAAGACATCAGCAGAGATTGAGTGGGAACACCAGCAACACCCCAAGTACAAAGTAGACCAGAATAGCGTTACAAAGGCTCTGAAAACTGAACTTTGATTGGAAGCAAAAGCAAAAGGCATGAACCTATATGTGGCACCTAAAATAGAAGATTTAAATAGGAAAAATAATACAATAACATAATAACCCAAATGTTGAGGATACAATAGGAAATTACTCATCATACCTAAAACCAGGAAAGCCACAATTTAAATAACAAAAGACAGTCAACTGGCAGCAATACCAATATGATATAGATGTTGGAATTTATCTGGCAAAGATTTTGAAGTAGGTGTAATAAAAAATCCTTCAATAACTAGACTTTCCACATACCAGACCCTTCTCTGCTTGCACCGCATATACGCTGCCCTGCACCCACCATGACCACCGTTGAGCAGCTGGTAGGAAGATGGCACCTGGGGGACAGCAAAGGCTTTGATGAATACATGAAGGAACTAGGTGTGGGGCTAGCTCTGTGAAAAATGGGTGCAATGGACCAGATTGCACCATCTCTTGTGACAGCAAAAACCTCACCATAAAAACTGAGAACACTTTGTAAATGTGTTTTCTTGTGTTAAGGGAGAGAAATTTGAAGAGACTACAGCTGACGGCAGAAAAACTCAGACTGTCTGCAACTATACAGATGGTGCATTGGTTCAATATCAAGAATGAAATGGGAAGGAAAGGATGATAGCAAGAAAATTGACAGATGGGAAATTAGTGGTGAAATGTATCATGAACAATGTCACCTGTACTCAGGTCTATGAAAAAGTAGAATAAAAATTCCATCACCTCTCTGGGCAGAAATTAGTTATGAGAATGAACAAGTTCAGTTCAGTGAGCAAGTCTCCATACTGCTTTTTTTTTCATTACCCTATTCAATTATATTTATCACAAATATTTTACATGTAATTATTTCAAAATGTTGGTTTAATTTGGTTCCTCCCTTTGGTTAATAAATATGTTTGTGCTAATAAAAAAATCCTCCAACAATTAATGATAAATTCTTTTGAAATAATGAAAAAATAGAAAATCTTAGCAATGAAATAAAAGATATTAAAAAGAACCAAATGGAAATTATGGAAATGAAAAATACATAAGCAAAAATAAAAAACTGAGATGAACTCAATAAAGAAGGAAGATGATAAAATCAGTGTACTTAAGGATGCAAGGACAGAGCAATAGCATTTACTTAATCCTACAATTTAGGGATTTAAAAAAGCCTCAAAAAGATCCTCAGGGACCTATGAGACAATAACAAAAGAGCTACAAACATTTGTATCATTGCAGTCTTAGCAAGAGAGGAGAAAGAGAGATTGAAAAGTATTCTGAGAGGGTAGTACCTGTGGCTCAGTGAGTAGGGTGCCAACCCCATATACCAAGGGTGGTGGGTTCAAACCCAGCCCCAGCCAAACTGCAACAAAAAACCAACCAGGCATTGTGGTGGGTGCCTGTAGTACCAGCTACTTACGAGGCCGAGGCAAGAGAATCACCTAAGCCCAAGAGCTAGAGGTTGCTGTGAGCTGTGACACCACAGCATTCTACCAAGGGTGACAAAGTGAGACTCTGTCTCAAAAAAAAGAAAAAAAGAAAAAAAAGTATTTTGAGAAAACATGGCTGAAAACTCCCAAATCTGATGAAAGACATAAATATACAGATTTTAAAAGTTGATTAGACACCAAATAGAAAAAGTAGTCACAATCCATACTGATATATAATTAATCTTCTAAATACTAAAGATTAAGAAAAAAAATCTTAAAAACAGGAAGTAGCAACCAAGAAGGAATACCAGTTCAAACTGTTATTTTTTCATTGCCTATAATGAAACTGTGATGGTCCAACATTTATCAAGTGCTGAAAACAAAGAACTGTCAACCCTGAATACTATATCTGGTGAAACTATTCTTCACATTCTCAGATGAAGAGAAACAATTTGTTGGGACATGCTTGTGTTTAATACACCTAAAATATCAAACATCTTAACTTAGCCAAGTCTACCTTAATGTAAGCTCAGAACACTTACGTTAGTCTATAGTTGGGCAAAATCATCTAACACGCAGCCCATTTTATAATAAAGTGTTGACTATCTCATGTAATTTATTGAATACTGTGCTAAAAGTGAAAAACAGAATGGTTGTAATTGTATTTGAAATATGCTTTCTACTGAATGTGTATCTCTTTTGCACCATTAAGTAAAAAATCTTAAGTAGAACCATTAGAAGTCAATTTCATTAAGCATTAGGAAAATGCAAATTAAAACCCCATGAGATTTCTCTACACACATATCTGAATGGCTAAAATTTTAAAAAAGTGGTGATAACATCAAACGTTGGTGAGGTGGTAGAGAAATTGAATCACTCATCTATTATTGGTAGGAATGTAAAATGGTACAACCACTCTGGCAAATAGTTTTGTAGTTCCATTTACTTTTTTTATTAGTTTTATTTATTTATTTATTTTGCAGTTTTGGGCCAAGGCTGGGTTTGAACCCGCCACTTCCGGCATATGGGGCCAGCGCCCTACTCCTTTGAGCCACAGGCACTGCCCTATTATTTTATTTTTTTTAGAGACAGGGTCTCACTTTGTTGTCCTCAATAGAGTGCTGTGGCGTCACAGCTCATAGCAACCTCTAGCTCTTGGCTTAGGCAATTCTCTTGCCTCAACTTCCCAAGTAGCTGGGACTACAGGCGCCTGCCACAACACCTGGCTATTTATTTGTTGCAGTTTGGCAGGGACTGGGTTTGAACCCGCCACCCTTGGTATATTGGGTGGGTGCCCTACTCACTGAGCCACGGGTGCCACCCTTGTAGTTCCATTTAAACTGAAAATGGTCTTACCATACCACCTAGCAATTATGCCCTTGGGCATTTGTCCCAGGAAAATAAAAATCTATTTTGATGGAGAAACTTACACACAAATGTTCATAATAACTTTATTTATAATATTAAAAAAAACCTAAGAACTAAACAAATGTTCTTCAATGATGTATAATTAAATAATTGTGGTACATCCATACCATGGAATACTACTCAGCAATAAAAAGGAATAAATTGTTGGGCACACAACTTGGGTGAATTGCAAGGAAATTATACTGAGTGAAAAATCCAGCCTCCAAAGCATGGACATGTGCTACATGATGCCATTTATGTAACATTCATGAACGATGTAAAAGAGATTAGTGATTTGCCAGGACTTTAGGATGGGGGAAAGAGGGTAACTGTGGTTAAAAGAAGTGGGACAGAGAGTCTTTTATTTTGAATTTTTTTGGTAGAGTCACGATCTTGCTTTTTGCCCAGGCTGGTCTCAAACTCCTGGCCTCAGGCATTTCTCCTGCCTCAGCCTCCCAAAATGCTGGGATTACACATAGGAATGACCAAGCCTGGCCTACAAGTATTTTTTGATAATAGTCCATTTAAGTATCCTGAATGTGGTTGTGGTTATACAAAGCTACACACATGACAAAACCGCATAGAGCCATATACAGACACACAAATGAACGTATATATAGCTGATGAAATCTGTTCTATGGATTGTACCAAGGTCACTTTCCTGGGTTTGATGCCACTGGGGAAGGCGGGGTGAAGGGTATAGGAGGCCTCCCTGTACATTTATATACAACTACCTGTGAATCTGTCTTATTTCAAAATAGAAAGTTTAAAAAGTCAGTGTGATGGTTAATTTTAGGTGTCAACTTATATGGATTAAGGAATACCTAGAAGTCTAGGTAAAGCATCATTAATTGGGGGGAGGGTTTCCAGAGGAAACTAGTCTGAATGGCCCAGGTGAGAAAGACCCGCCCTCAGTGTGGGCAGGCACCATCCAATCTGCTGTGAGTCTGAGGAGAACAAACACAGCAAAGGTGAGTGTGTAGATCTGTCTTCTGCAATTGGAAGACAATCTTCCTATCCCATGCTGGGACAACAACTCCAGGCTCCTTGGCCTTTGGACATGAGGATTCACACCAGTACTCCCTGCCCCTAGGGTTCTCAGGCCTTTACCCTGGGGCTGAGAGTCCCTCCATCTGCTTCCCTGCTTCTCAGGCCTTTGGACTCAGACTTAGCCACATTATTAGCATCCTGGGAGCTTTAGCTTACAGAAGGCTTATGGAAGGACTTCTCAGTTCTCATAATCTTGTGAGCTAATCCCCCTAATAAATCCCCTCTCATCTATCTATCTATCTATCTATCTATCTATCTATCCATCCATCCTATTGAGTCTATCTCTCTAGAAAACCCTCACTAATACAGTCCAGCTCAAAACCAGCAAGACCAGCCATAGAAGTGATATGACATATGCCATATGTTTTGAGACATTTTAACTGTTGCTTTTCCCTATAAATGAACAGAGTACAAGGAAACTTCAGTTCTTTTCCAATTTTGTGTATTCACAGGAAATAATGGCATTTGTTCCTTGTGTTGTCTGAACCTTGATGGTCTCATGAGATTTTGTTTTCCATTTTGACAGAGCTGTACTTGTGGCTGGATGATCTTATCCCACTTTCCCCCCACCCCAGGATGGTGACAATGATGCTGTATGTTTTAAAAAGTTCTTTCAAACCTCCCCCCCCCATATCTGTCTTTCTCATCTCTTTCTCTCTCTCTCTCTCAGATCTCTTCCTCTCCCGCTCTTCCTCTTTTAAAATTTATTTTCATAGCCCCAAATAAAAATGCTCATTGCATCTTTCCTTCTGTCTCCCTCATTTTGGGATGGGAATGTTAAGCCTTTGGGTTCCTTAAATGTGACTTACTCATTTTATGTTCCAAGCTTTATTGAAGCACCCTAAGATTGAGCATTTAGCCACTCAGGAGTGTCTGGAGATTCTAAGCAGCCAAGAAAATCCTAGGGTCTTCTCTTATGTCTTTTTTCATGGCAAACAACCTTGTATTCAGCAGGGAAGAGAGAGAGAGAGAGAGAGAGACATATCAATTATACAACCTATTTTTTTTGAAAGCCTGAGTGTCTATTTATCCTTCTCCCTTGGCATGGTGGTGGTGGGGACCGCTTAGTCATTACTAACAACGTTAAATAATACAAAATGCATGACAGTACTTTTAAATACTGATGGAGACCTGTAATGTAACTTTGGCACAACTTAAAGCCATGAGGCCTCTAGTTTGTTTTACTGGAACAAATCACTTCCCCTTAGAATCCCATAAAGCCTTAAAGCTGATAACGAAAGACAATTTCATTTTCTACTTGTATGGAGAGAGAGCCCTCAGTTCCCTGAATGGCTGACCAACCAATATTGTCTGAGAAGAGCAAAATCCCTCCCCTTGGGTGGCACCTGTGGCTCAGTGAGTAGGGTGTCAGCCCCATATACCGAGGGTGGCAGGTTCAAACCTGGCCCCAGCCAAACTGCAACAAAAAAATTGCCAGGTGTTGTGGTGGGTGCCTATAGTCCCAGCTACTCAGGAGGCTGAGGCAAGAGAATTGCCTAAGCCCAAGAACTGGAGGTTGCTGTGAGCTGTGATGCCACAGCACTCTACCCAGGGTGACAAAGTGAGACTGTCTCTTTAAAAAAAAAAAAAATCCCTCCCCTTAACTAGGCCCATGATCACCATTCATGGGGCTCTTTAGGGCTTTGGTATCAACTTGATCATGTTCTATAGCAAAGAGACATACCCATTCATCTCAGGAGAGAAGATATCTTGTTGTATTTCTGATATAGCGCCTTGAATTCTTGAAGGAAAAATATCAGAAAGTTTGATGTCAATGCCACAACATTGGTGCTGCTGCTGCTTAAGTTCTATATCCTAAAGATGGCTTAGAAAATGTTTACAGACCAAAGCCAGGGAGTGGAGGTTTTTCAAAACATCGCAGATGCCTTTTTCCCCCCTTTATGAAGGGCCATTCCTAAAAGAAGCAAATCAACTGCTTACAGAACTGCATACCCATCATCTCCCTGCTGTTTTCAGCCTTTCCTAATGAATTAAGGAGGAAGGAAGATGCTAGCAGATACGTTCTGAAACTGACCCACAATTGTTGTGAAACTGACACATAGCAGCTTTGCTACCAAGCTCTCTCTAGCAGTTTGATGGTTTGTGCCTGTTAGCTTTGCTTTGGATGGTTTTCATTTTAACGATTGTTGCATTTCGCATAATTTGGCCCTAGCTGTTTAAGGATTCTTCTGAGACTCTCTATAGGCTGAACATAGACAAACTGTGTGCATGCCTGGGGGGATGTGGCAAGAATGTGCACGTGCCTGCCAGTCTATCTCAGATGACCTACGGTCATAATGGGGTTTGCGGTCGCCAAGCCTCTTCAGAATGCCCTGGTTTTCCACCGTGATTCTCACTAGCTCACGGTTCCTCGATTCTCTGTTTAAGCTGAAAAACACAAAATTTCAAGATGGGTAAAGAAGGAAACACTCCTCCTGGATGGGAGCAGGGGAGGAGATAAAGTCATCATGTCATAAACACTGGCTGAGTGTGGGGATAAACCATCCTGCTGAATCCTGAGTTCCCAGGGGTAGCCCATGGAACTGACCACACTGCATTCTGGGAAACATGCAGAGAATCTGCAGGTTCATATCTGTGGTCCTCAAACCTGCTGCCCACTAGATGACTCTACTTTATTGGTCTAGACTTTGGGCATTGGCATTTTGTAAAAGTTCTCCAAGCAGTATAATGTGAAATCAGAATTGAGAACCTCTGGTTCATATTATGGGGTCTCCCAGTGGATAAGTTGCAAATGGCTGGTGACAAGTTTTGGTTCATGTCACTCCTTTCAGCTTTCAACTTATACCAGGATATCCCAGGATACTGTCAAGGCACTTTGACACCCCCACCAACATACACATTCCATCAAATTCTTCCCCTTGCACACACTTCTTTTGGTGCCCTGACCACACTGCACTGTTATTTACCTAAACGTCTCCCCTACAAGATCTTGAGTTCTTTGAGGTTAGGAAATGTACATCTCATTTCATCTTTGTATTCTTGGCTCCTAGCACCTAGCAATTGTTCAGGATATTATTTGTGGAGCAGATTTTAAAATGCTACACCATAGTCCCAGCTATGATACTATGGTCTGAATGTCTGTGTCCCCCTCTCCCCAGTCTCTCCCCAATTCTCATGTTGAAATCCTAACTGAGAAGCTGATCCTCTTAGAAGGCAGGGCCTTTGAGAGGTGATTAGGTCATCCTAATGAATTAGTGCCCTTATCAAAGAAGGCTGAGAGAGTCCCCTTGCCCCTTTTGTTAAGTGAGATTATAGTGAAAAGATGGCTGTCTATAAAGCAGGCCCTCACCAGACATCACATTTGCTGGTTCCTTGATCTTTGGAATTCCCAGTCTCTAGAACTGTGAGAGCTTCTGTCATTTATAAGCCACTAGTTTGTGGTATAGTGGAACCTCTTGTAAGCTGACCACCCAAGGAGCTATAACAATCTAGTTAGCATACAGAGGTGGTCAACATAAGGAACTAGGCCTTAGTATACATGGTACATGTCCAGTTTACGCAAATTAGGTCAGTTTAATACATATCATCAGTATAGTAGGCTTAGATCCTTATGATGATGACCTATGTATATTGACCAGTTTATTATAATCCCTGGGGTAGTCAATTTACAGAAGTTCTACTGTCATCCCTAATGGACTAAAGCACATGATCATTTTTTAAAAAGCAAGCAGTGAATTCTGTGACCAACCAAATAGGACTCTGCAAAGTCTCTTAGATGAAATAAAGATTAGCTCTTTACACTAGAGAAAGGTCCCATTTCTGAAGGGGACGCTTTGCTTATGCCTCAGGAGAACTTCACACTAAAACCCAAAGGGAGAGCCAATTTTGACTTTCCAAAAATGAAATGAAGAGAAAGAACACTACCTCTTGGTAAAATATTCATTCCAGCAATCCACCTTGGCAGGGCCTCGATGAGCATTCGCAATTTTCTGGCATAGTTGCTTATTTTCGTACTCAATTTTGTCGATCCTCTTTTGTTCACCCTGGTAAGAAACCGCACCCCGCCGTGGAGACATGGCTACACTTCCTCCAACACACAGTGGCTTAGCAACCCTTCCTCTGGGATTGTGGGAAAGGGACACCCGGAGGGCCACAGGGGAGACTGGAGGCAGAGCTTAGGAAACCAGAGATGTGTATGGGACAAAGGACTATTAACACATCATTGAATTGAGTGGGTGTTTAGAAGGCTCTGGGAAAGTGGACCTCTTTAGGACATAGATTAAAAATCAGTAAAAAAACATCTACAGATGGCAAGAACAAATACCTGTAGTTTGCTCAATTTTAAAATATGATGTGTATGCGCCACTGGAGGTTTGGTATCAACAGTAGGCTTCACTAGAGAAGAGGGATAAAAGAGAGTGATGTTATATCAGAGGAATCCTGATAGCAGCCTCAGAAAACCAACTCACGTATAGGCAATGACACTGGCTAATGAATGGCTTTGAATTATGACCTTAATCTGGTTCAGAAATTTTAGTTTGGCTTAATTTCCCAAATGGACATGTCTGAAGAGTTTTGAGCAGAAATGAAAGAATAGTGAGGACTAGAAAAAGTAAAATTTACAGAGATAAGTGTCCTTTTAATTTTATTTGTATTTTTATTTATTTTTTAAAAGGTGGGGTCTTGCTCTGCTGCCCAGGCTGGAATGCAGTGGCATGATCATAGCTCATTGTAATCTCCCACCTCAGCCTGCTGAGTAGCTGGAACTACAGGTGTGAGTTCCCCCATCCCTCACTAATTTTTCTACTTTTTCTTTCTTTCTTTCTTTCTTTCTTTCTTTCTTTTTTTTTTTGAGACAGAGTCTCATTATGTCACCCTCGATAAAGTGCCATGGTATCACAGCTCACAACAATCTCAAACTCTTGGGCTTAAGAGATTCTCTTGCCTCAGCCTCCCAAATAGCTGGGACTATAGGCACCTGCCACAACACCTGGCTGTTTTCTGTTGCAGTTGTCATCGTTGTTCAACAGGCCCGGGCTGGGTTCAAACCTGCCAGCCTCAGTGTATGTGGCTCTCACCCTAACCACTGACCTACAGATGCTGAGCCAATTTTTCTACTTTTTATAGAGATGAGGTCTTGCTATGTTGCCCAGGCTGGTCTCAAACTCCTGGCCTCAGGTGATCCTCCCATCTCAATCTCTCAAAGTGTTGGAAGTATAAGAGTGAGCCACTGCACCCAGCCCAAATGTCCTTTTAATCCAATGAAAGAGGCTCTCTCCCATCCTTTCCCAATATTATTAGCCTGTCTAGTGGGTTCTGAAGTCCTATCTTCTTTCTAAGCTACTTTGGCTTAAAGAGTTTGTAATGAGTGTTTCCATCAAATGAACTCTCTGGTGGAAGATAAACTTTGTTACTGATGCTAATGTCCTCTTGACCAGACTCAGCAGAGAAGGCCATATCATCCCAAAGCCATATCGTAATCTGGTTTACTGTAAATATCTCCATGGAAGACCCTTCCAGAATCCCTGATAGCAGTGACCAGCCCATACCACCCACGTACCTATTTGTATTCTATTCTTATGAAATAGGTAGTGGCCAAAGTCCAGTTTCTTTCTGAAGGTTGTGCTTTGCCTGTGATTAGAGACGATAACAGGGTAGGCCAGATAATCCAAGGAATTGTTCATCTTCTTTTCCTAGTATCACTTCAGAAATGAGGCACTTATGCTCCTCTGTGAGGTAGTTAGCTGTCCCCATGGCAGGTTGTCATAGTTACCCAGTTATGACATCAGGTGCCAGTTTCAGGGAAGAGTTGGAGTAGCAGAGCTGGTTGTCTCTGGGCTTCTGTTTAATGCTAACCTAAGCCTAAATCAAGATGAGGGTCAAGGGACTCACAAGTTTTTCCTACTGCCTACAATGTAGATGCTGCCAATCACCACCAGAAGGAAAGGAGTGGTGTGCTGGGAGGGGTGGGAAGGCATAAGTGGGGGTGAGGGATACAGAATTCCAGTGTTGGATACACATTGGGGCTATAAGCCAAGCAGTCTCCACCTACAATGGTTTCCTGGCAGGTGCAAGACCACAATCTTTCTGGGGAGGGGAAAGGTGACATTAACAATAACCTGATCCATTCACTTCATTTTGCAGATGAAGACACTCAAATCCAGAGCATCAGTGAAATACCTCAAGAACCAAGTTGGTGGCAGAGCTGGACTAAGAATGTGGGTTTCCTGAATTCCAGAAACCACATTTGCTCTTTGGGGGAAGGGAATCGCCATTTTACATGGCAGGGAGGGGGGAGAAGGGGGGCTTCCTACCAGGACAGACACTGTGTCTTTCCAATTTAGTGGGAGCTCAGAAAGTGCTGAGGTGCTGATACTCACTAGGTGGCTCCTAGTGAACAGCTGTTCCAGGAAGGGCTGTGAGGCCTATTTATCTCCACACCAATGCAGGGTGTGGCTCCTAGTGGGTCCTCAATACATTGGCTGATGGGAGGGAGGACAACACCGAGTGCTCACTGTGTAGGGCTGGGCGCTGTCCTTGAATGTCATACTTAATCCTTCCAACAACTGTAGGAGTTAGGTTGTTTTATTACCCCTATTTCTTTCTGAGCAACAGGCTCAGAGAGCTTAATTCCCCAGGGTCAGATTTCTAAGCCTGACTGCACATGGGCCAAGATTTTAAACAGACACTGACTCTCCATGCATGTTGAAAGCAGACGTGCCCCAGAGTAGGGCTTCCCAGACTTTGCCCTTCTTAGGGATCTCCTGGCGTAGGTAAAATGTACATTCTGATCAAGCAGGGCTGGGTGCGGGGAGTGGTCAGATTCTGTGTTTCTTGCAAGGGCTGGGGTGATGCCAACACGCCACTGGTCGACAGCAGGAAGCAGCTCACACGTGGAACCCGAGTGTCCCTATAATCCTGGAAAAACCAAGCCACACCCTGGTGTACCTTTATTAGGAATATTTATTGCTCTCGCATTTGGCTCAGTGAAGGAAATTGCTTCCTGATTTACGAAGATGTACAAACTGCCCTAGACAGGGCTAGGGAGAGGATCCCTGAGAGTCGGGGGTCCCGCGGAGTGTCACTCGGTTCCAACGGTCCACATCCTTCCCCGGGCGTGGAGCGCGGATGCCCCCCGGCGTCACAGCGCCGGAGCTCCGCAACTTCCAGCGCCGGCGGGACCGCCCCCGGGGCGGGGCGGGGCGGCTCCCGTCTGGCGAGCCCCCGCCCAGCTGACCCGCAGCTCTCCCCCTCGCTCGCTGCTGCCCCGGCGTGCAGGGCCCGGTCGCCGCCATGACGGCCCCGTTCGAACTCTCCGTGCAAGATCTCAACGACCTGCTGTCGGACGGTAGCGGTTGCTACAGCCTCCCGAGCCAGCCCTGCAACGAGGTCACCCCGAGGATCTACGTGGGCAACGCGTAAGTCTCCCCAGCAAGCCCACCCCCGCCGCCCCTCCCTGGTGCGCCCCGCCCACCTGCAGGCGTGGGCGGGGGGAACCCGAAACAGTAGTTCCTCTGGGAGCAACGCGGATGGTGGGGAGGAGGACTCGACGCCCACCCTCGCGCGTGGGGCCGAGGGGCAGGACCCCAGTCCGGCCCGGCCTGGCCCGGCCCGGCCCAGCACGCTCCTGGCTCATCGCCGGGTGCCCGGAACCCCATGGGGCACCTGGCCCCGCCCTTAGCCGCCACCCGCTTGTGGATCGGTCTTGGGCGGGGTCGGGGCTACCATGTTCACTTAACAGGTGGCCCTCTGGCGCTAGGCCGGTCTTCTGCCCGCGCGTCATGTGACAGCTGCCTGGTTCTGCAGTGAGGTCACCGCGGAATGTCTGCCTTCGCCGCCATGGCAACGGGTTTACGTCACAATTCGGGCGTGGAACTTTCCCAGCTCGGCAGGCTCGGATCAGGCAATCTAAATATCCAGAGAGCCGGGTTGGGACTTCCTGGCCTCTTCTCCCACCTTCTACTTAGGGTTTGACTTACATGAGATTCTAGACCAGGCGTCCTCAAACTACGGCCTGCGGGCCACATGCAGCCCGCCTAGGACATTTATCCGGCCCGCCGGGTGTTTTTGCCGCCGCTGCCTGTCCTGTTTAGCAGGCGACAAGTCCCGCGGCCGCAGTCCGGCCCGCTAATGGTCTGAGGGACAGTGAACTGGCCCCCTATTTAAAAAGTTTGAGGATCCCTGTTAGACCGATTCAATCCCCGTACGGACCTGAGCTGTCATCTAGAAGAGGTTCCTGACTTTCTCACCACCAAGAATGCATTTACTGTAATGTTTATTACACACAGGTTCTTTTTATTAGGTTGATTTCTCTATTTTCTCTTATTCAAACTACTAGTTAGAATTTCTCAGCAGCAGGAGAGAACCAGTGTTAACCAGCCACAGGAAAGAATAGATTAGCATGCCTATACAGCCTACACTGAAGACCCACTTACTAAAGTCCTAAGCTCCACAGGCCTAGCCAAGAGACCTGAAAACCCAGAACTAACATCTCTCATTTTAAGAGGAAATGGTGGCCCAGAGCAATTGAGGAATTGTGAGGATAGAGTCAGTGTCTTGTTCATGTCTGTATCCTCTAACCTCCACTAGGACCTGCTGCTTAACCTGCCAAGGAATGCCATGGAAATTTGGGGTCATCGTGGAGCTAGAAGGGGTCCATGAGGCAAGACCCAGCCTCACATGGTCTCATTCATTCCATCATTCATTCTCCAGTTTGAGCTACTAGGATGTGTCAGGCACTGTATACAACCTTCATTGATAGTAGAGGTAGTATAATGATAATGGTGAATTTGTAGAATGTCAAATTAATATTAGAGAAGGGAGATGAATGAGAGTGACTCTTCAAAGTGTTTCTTCTAGCAGCCACTGCTTTACAGTCTTGTGCAGTGTCCTGAGCAGGAGTAGCTAAAACAGAGTCCTGTGTCCCAGCCAAAGGCCCTAGTAATTTCAGAGTTCTGGGAACACCCTCCCACCCACCCCCCAACTATCCAAGCAGCAAGTGGGCTTTGGTAGCCTCAGGATTCCTGCTGCCTGGAGATTCTGGCCACTCAGCTTCCTGTGTGGAAACCAAGGTTGTGAACATCTGGTGGTAGCCAGAATGGCAAGTGCTGAGTCACTGTAGAAGAAGCATCCTTTGACTTCTAAAGATATCTGACCTTGACTTGGCCAGGGTTCAGGGGGGTGCTCAGCAGGGAGGATCAAATGATCATAAGTACTGAGAGGATTCAGGCTTCCCCACCCATCAGGAGCCCTTAACATCAGGGCTCCAGCCATGTGCTCATAGGGCAGAGACAGAGCTTGTGTGAGCCACATTTGCCAGGTCTCAGGGCATGAGAGCAGAGTGAGGTGGAAGACAGAGCAGGACTGAACCTTGAGGGGAAGGAGGTTTCCTCCTCCCTCCATCAGCAGCCAATGGGAGCACATGCATGCCCCTCTACCTGTCCTGTAGGGTCAGAGCTCTGTCAAGTGGTGGTATTGCAGTCCGTCTTTCTTCATAGGAAATGGGCAAATGAGATTATGTAGGAGGCAGTGTTTTTTGTAAAGTATAGACTGCTGTTTGAATTGGACTGTTTTGTGAGGTGAAACAAAGGGACCCTTTGATGATTCAGAGCAAGTATTTTGTGACCCCCATGGTTCTTTGGGGGCCACTTGCTAACTCACCCATGGGAACTTCAGAAATGTGGCCAGTGGAGTGTGGCAGGAAGGACCCTTCTGGGGTTGGGGTGGTGCTGCCTGGCATGTGAACATTTCATTCTTTTTTACTCACCTGTTTATTTAGCACCTACTGTGTACCAGGTGCTGCAGCAAGGTGCTGGGGAGATGGACCTCAAGCACATAGGTTCCTCCTCAAGGAACATACAGTTGGGACTTGTAAACAAAGAAGCACCGATAAGCGTTAGAATAGTAGTGCTCACTATGGTGTCAGGCTCTTGTCAGCAGAATAGCCTGTTTAACACTCGTAGGGAGTAGGCGCTATTATCATCCGCATTTTACCAAGAAGGAAACTGAGGCACAGAAAGTTTAAGTGTCTTAAACTTAAGGTTGCCTGGCTGGTAACTGAGCTGCATTCTTACCCAGGCATTCTGGCTCCAGAGCCCATTTGTAACCACTTGGTTCACCTACTGCCATGAGTTAGGGAGATGGTGCCAGATGGGATGGAGTGGAGATGAGGAAATCCTGCAGAGGGTGGTGACAGATAAGGGGGGGTATGTCTACTGAAAAGGTGGAGAAGGGCATTCCAGGCAGAGGGGACAGTGTGGGCATGAAACCACCAGTCTATTTGGGGAAGATATTGGTAATTTGATATGGCTGGAGTGAAGGGAGAGATCATAAGATGAGGCTGGAGCAGGGGCCAGAGCATGGAGGGTTCTTGCTTTGCCAAGAGGCTTAGAGCCGTCTCTGTCCCCTCCGCTGGGATTGCCAGTTGGTCAGTGAATTGTCCCTTACCACTGTCTCCTGTCCAGGTCTGTGGCTCAGGATATCCCCAAGCTGCAGAAACTGGGGATCACCCATGTTCTGAATGCTGCTGAGGGCAGGTCCTTCATGCACGTCAACACTAATGCCAACTTCTACAAGGACTCTGGCATCATCTACCTGGGCATCAAGGCCAATGACACGCAGGAGTTCAACCTCAGCGCCTACTTTGAAAGGGCTTCGGACTTCATTGACCAGGCCTTGGCTCAAAAGAACGGTAAGGGACCTGCCACCCAGGAAAAAATGGGAGGCCCCTGTAACTGGACTGTCCTTCTAGAACACAGACCCTCAGCAAGTCTCATCTCAGAAACCCTCTTATTCTGTGTTTCCTGTGGTGAATGACTGACAGCTGTGGCTCTCTCCCTGGTCCTCGGCTGCCTGTGTGCCTCGTTCACACAGTGTAGACCCAGGACCCTTGCATTTGGTTTGATGTTGGCTGAGGGTTGGTTTTCAGCCACTTACATGCCCCCCACCACCAATTCAAGCAGCTTTAATCATAAGGAATATTTGTTATTATCCAGGGCTGGTTGGTTTATCAGCTCTATGGTGGCATCTGGGCCACTTTCTTTCCCTGTCTCTCTTCTGCCACCTCAACATTGGGTTCTCCCCTCATGGTCTCAAGGTGGTTAATCGCCACATCCCACCAGGACAAAACGCAGCCATCTCTTCCCATGTTTCTCTCTTTTAAGAGCAAGGACAGCATCCCCCAGGAATTCCCCAGGGAACTCCCCATCATGCCTCATTGACCAGGTGTTGACATGGTACCTGGCAAAGGGAGTAGGGTGGCAAACTGTGGCCCCAGGCCAAATCTTCCAGCAGCTTTTTAGATACTTTCTGTAGCCTTCAAATATAAGGAAGGACTGTAGGACAACTGCTGAGGTGCTGGCATTGAGAAAAGACTTTCCATTAGGAAATCCTAGAAGGCCACAGGGCAGATATCAGCTGAGCAGGCCGGGCTGCTTGCCCTTTCTGCTTTTAGCTCCTTCCTTGACCTCTTCCTCCCTCCCCAATCCATGCCCTCCCAGGGGAAGTGACCCTTGTGCAGTGTTATTGACCTTGTCTCTGCTACGCCCAGCGGCCTTCCCACCCAAGTGATTTCCAGCAGACAGACTTCCCCAGACCACGGGATAGCTCACTGTCAGGGCTCTGGAGAGAAGTTTTATTGACCAGGGAATCTGCGGACTTTTGTGTGAGGCCCCTCATGGTCCATCATGGTCACTTACACACTCAGCCCAGTCCACCCACTTCCACTCCAGCTGTATTAAGCTTGTTGCTCTGTGTAGATGCAGAATGAGAGTTCTGATTAAAGGGGAGGATTTTGCTTTACTCATATAAAATTGAGGGGTCAACTATTCAGGGAACTTACAGTCTCTGACTTTGTTTCCTGGTTCCAGCTAACTAGGAACATGCCCTGATTTTTTCAGACCTCCTGCCCAGGTAGGCTGGGTCTTCAGTTGAGAAAGCTCTGTCAGGCGGTGCCTGTGGCTCAAGGAGTAGAATGCCAGCCCCATATACCAGAGGTGGTGGGTTCAAAACTGGCCCCGGCCAAAAAAAAATAAAAGAGAGAAAGCTCTGTCTAGGGCAGTGCCTGTGGCTCACTGGGTAGGGTGCCAGCCCCATATACCAAGGGTGGCAGGTTCGAACCTGGCCCCGGCCAAACTGCAACAACAACAACAACAACAACAAAATAGCTGGGCATTGTGGCAGGTGCCTATAGTCCCAGCTACTTGGGAGGCTAGGGTAAGAGAATCACCTAAGCCCAAGAGTTGGAGGTTGATGTGAGGTATGACGCCACAGCATTCTACCGAGGGTGATAAAGTGAGACTCTGTCTCAAAAAAAGAAAAGAAAGAGAGAAACCTCTCTCTGCCTCTCCCTACCCTGTCCTCTGGCAAACTCATCTTTGTGCTTTAGCACTGGGCATGGTGTCTTCTCGCCTGTGAAGCCTTCCCTCAGACTGGGTCCACTGTATCCCTTTTCTGTCTCCTGATCTATGTCAGGCACATAGTAGGTATACTGTAACATGGTTACTGAACAAGTGAGAGTGAATTCCATGGGCTCCAAGGCCAAGTGTAAATGCTTTTAAGGTTGATCAGCCAAGCGAGTTATAGAAGAATGCTGACCTTTAACAATGTGCAGGGTTCAAGGGACCCAAAAACCTCTCACTAAGAGAGCTGGGTGGGATGGCTGAGGGTGCTCAGGGGAGAGAGCAGTCACTTCCAGCTGGGGAGACGAAGGGAAGCTTTGTGGAAGAAATGGCATCTGGGCTTAGCCTGGGAGTTGGAAGGCAGAGGTTGAACCACCCGCTTCCCCAGTGGGCTCTGTATGCCTTGAGTATGTTCTAGGTCAACCTTCCTAATGCCGCGGCCCTTTAATACAGTTCCTGGGAGTTGCGACACACAGATTGAGAACCGCTGTTCTAGGTGGTGAGGTGGCTGTTTTACAGAGAGTCCTTTTCCTGGGGTGGGTGGGGGCAGGGGCAGTCCCACTCTGAACACTTTAGGCATACTAGCCAGAGAGTGAATGGGCAGGAAACTATAGGATTCCTTCCTGATTTGGGAGGTGCTGGAAAAGTAGTGTTTTGTGGGCGATGGGAGCAGGTGGACTCTGAGCTGGCAGATTGCCTTCCAAATAATGGCTGCGTAGAGGTGTTATTGGGCAATCATTCCTCAATTAGTCAGCAACTGTTTACCTAGTTGCTGTGAGATATTATAAAGGATCCAAAAATATTAATATATACCCCACAGTCCTCACTCCTAAGGAATTCACCCCCTGAAGCGGAGAGTAGATCGGTGCTTGGCCAGCAATAGCCCAGGCCTGGGCTGATGTGGCTGAGGATGTTCTAGGTACTAACAGAGGGTAAGAGTTCTGAGGACTTCATATGGGAGGCACCAGTTGAGTGGCTTTTTGTGTGGTCTCCTTTAAACTCCCAACTACCTCATGAAATGGGTCTATTGGCACAGATAGAAAATGGAGGCACCATGAAGTTAGTGGGTCCTAGTGTTAATGACCAGTGTATTGGTCAGGATTCTCCAGAAAAAATAGAACCAATAGAATATGAAGCTGGCCCTCTGTACCCATGGGTTTTGCATCTGTCAATTCAACCAACTGCTGATTAAAAATATTCAGGAAAAGAATGGAGAAGCAAGAATCCAATTGTACTCAATTCTAATATGAAGGCCGTAGATGAGCTAATACGAGGGGTGGGGTGGGGAATGAGGGAGAGGGGAGGAGAGAGGGGGTGGGGGGGTCATGGTGTGTGGCACACCTCTTGGGGACAGGACACAATTATAAGAGGGACTTTATCTAACAAGTGCAATCCGTGTAACCTAATTCTTTGTACCCTCAGTGAATCCCAAACAAGTAAAGGGAAAAAAAAATCTGTTTCCAAGAAAAAAAACTATTCAGGAAAAAAGGTTACTACATCTATACTGATCATGTACAGACTTTTTTCTTTTGTCATTATTCCCTAATCAATACAGCGTAGCAGTTATCTACATAGCATGTGAAATGTAAATGATATTTACATTGTATTAGGTATTATAAGTAATCTACAGATGGTTTAAAGTATCTGGGAGGATATGTGTAGGTTATTTGCAAACACGGTGACATTTTACATAAGTGACTTGAGCATCCATGAACTTTGGCATCTGTGGGATGTTCTGCAACCAATCTCCTATGGATATGGAGGAACAACTATATATATTCATATACAGAGGGTCCCCCCAAAATGTATATACATTTTAAGAAAGGAAAAACTATTAAAATTGTAATGCTCAGTATATACCGATAACAAAAGATGAATACAAGTCACCTTGAGTACCTTTTGTCATTGCAGAAGTCAGACGTGACTTGAATATTACAGATTTAACACAGTTTTTCCCTTTCTTAAAACGAGTATACATTTTTTGGCACCTTCTGTATATATTTTTTAAAGTCATCCTTATTGTAGGGATATGATTTATTTTTTATACAGGGTGGACATAAAGTTCATGTGTCTATTAAAATAGTTTAACCTGGTAAATTGCATACGAACTTTATGGATACCCTGTATTAATATATGTTTATTGTATTGATTTATATCTATTCCTATATATACACATATGATTTATTTTAAGGAATTGGCTATGATGGTTGGGTCAGGCGAGTCTTAGGTCTGTAGGCCTGGCCAGCAGACTAGACTCAGGATTTCTCTGTTATAATCTTAAGGAATAGTTACTTCTTCACCAGGAAACCTCAGTTTTGGTCCTTAAGTTCTTCAGCTGTTTTGGTGAGGCCCACCCACATTATCAAGGGCGGTCCCCTTCACTCAAAATCAATTGATTGTGGCAGTGCCCTCCCTTCACTTAAAGTCAGTTGATTGTGGATGTTAATTACAACTACATCATATCCTCATAGCAACATCTAGACTAACATTTGGCCAAGCAGCTAGGCACTGTAGATTAGCCAAATTGACATATTTAGCCATCAGGTTAAAATTTAAACCCAGGTTCATGAACCTTTGAAGATTTGGGTTTTAAGAACCTGTACTGACAAGGGAAATAATTGAACTGGCGTCATAAGGGCTGAGTAGTTGTGTACCAGGTAGCCAAGAGGGAGAGAGATTCCAGATAGAGGGAACAACCTGTGCTAAGGTGTAGAGGTGAGAAAAAGTGTGAAAAGTGTCAAGCACTTTCCTGTGAGCAGCTAGCCTTGGAAGCTACTCTTTGGAGACCAAATTCTACCCTGCAAAAGGTGACAGGTCATATTTGTGTTTTGGAAAGATCTTTCCAGCCGGTGGGTGGAGAGTGGAGTGGAAGTGGTGAGGATGGAGGGAGAGCTCAGTGTGGGGGTGTTGAGGGGGCACAAGTAAAGGTGACAAGGACCTGGACTAAGTAAGCACTCTGTGTGGGGAGAAGCCAAGGCATGCGGCTCATGGGGCCTCCTGGAACATGCTAGGACTTTGGTGACATTGGCCTCTAGCATCTCCTCATCAACCTTCCTTCACTGAAGGAAGGACCCAATGCTGAGTACACAGAAGAGAGCAAACCACATGACATCCCTGCCCTCGTGGAGCTTACCTCACAGTGGGAGGATGACAGTAAACGTGTGAGAACGATCTGATCTGTGGCAGGTTGCAGGGAGGATAAAGCTGGGAGAAGGAGATTAGACAGGATAAGTAATAGGACTGGGCTTGTGGATTGAGAGAGAGTGGGTGGGAAAAGCCTTCCTGGGAAGGGGACATTTAATCAAAGCCCAGGGAAAGAGGAATTATAGGCCTGAGCCAGCTAGAGTGGAGGAAAAGGAAGAAGAAGGAGATGATGTCACAGCTAGGGACCAGATTTTGCAGGACCTCATAGACTATTTGGGGAACCATGAGGGGGTGTGTGTGTGTGTGTGTGAGAGAGAGAGAGAGAGACTGTTTTGTTTTTGTTTGTACTTAATGTGTATCTTTTGTTTTTTAAATCGCGTTGTTGAGGAATGTTTGACATTTAACAGACTGCACATAAGTTTTGATGGATGTATACACCCGTGAAACCATCGTCATAGCCTAGATAGTGAGTGAGCATGTCCATCACCCCCTAAATTTCCCTCAAGTCCCTATGTCACCCCTCCCTCCCACTCCTCTCTATCCTCTATTCCCAAGCAACTACAGATCTGCTTCCTATCACTAGAGATTAGTGTGCATTTTGTAGAGTTTTCTATAAATGGAATCACATAGTTATGTACTCTCTTTTTTCGTCTGTTCTGTTTCACTCAGCATAATTATTTTTAGTTTCATCTATGTTGTTGCATAGTTTTTTACTGCTAAGTAGTAGAGGGGTGTATGGCTGTACCACTGGTGGTTTATTCATTCACCTGTTGACAGACATTTGTTTTTGTTTTTGTGTTTTTGAGACACAGTCTTACTCTGTCACCCTGGGTAGAGTGCCGTGGTGTCATAGTTCACAGCAACCTCAAACTCTTGGGCTCAAGTGATCCTCTTGCCTCAGCCTCCCAAGTAGGTGGGACTACAGGTGCACACCATGACACCCAGCTAATTTTTCTATTTTTAGTAGAGATAGGGTTTCACTCTGTCTCAGGCTGGTCTTGAACTCCTGAGCTCAAGCAATCCACCCACCTTGGCCTCCCAGAGTGATGGGATTACAGATATAAGCCATGTCACTTGGCCTGTTGATGGACATTTGAGTTGCCTCCATGTTTTGCTTTTGACCTAAGTATAAAATACATACATAGTACCCATATCATAAGTGTGTAGCTAACTCCCAGCGTTACCCTATCTCAGCTTCCAATAACACAGGTCAGTTTCACCCTCTTTTCTGCTCTGTGGAGTCACACACCTCACGTTTCTCATGTTTCTGTGCTTCATTTATGTTGTTTCTTGTAAGTCATAGATTGCTCAGTCTTTTTACTTATCTATTCTATTGATAGGCCCCTAGAGGTTTCCAGCTTAGGGCTGGGTTGAATAGTGCTGCCCATGTCTGTTCAGGAACATGTGTGTATATTCCTGTTTGTCATGGATCCAGATGCAAGCGTTCAGTTTGAAGAGATAAAACTGTCACCATTTTCCAAAGCGGTTGTACCAATTTACACCCTACCTTCCTCAGCCATGCAGAAGAGTTCTGATTGCTCCATATCCTTACTGACACTTTGTATTTTCCATCGTTTTCATTTTATCCCTTCTGGTGGGTGCCCAGTGGCATGACTTTGTGCTTTTAATTGGCATCTCATGGAACAGTCTCAACCAGTCGTAGTGTGAATCAGATGTCTGTAGCTCACCGTGCCTCCCTGTTTCTTGCAGGCCGGGTACTTGTTCACTGCCGTGAGGGTTACAGCCGCTCCCCGACTCTCGTCATCGCATACCTCATGATGCGGCAGAAGATGGACGTCAGGTCTGCCCTGAGCATTGTGAGGCAGAACCGTGAGATCGGCCCCAACGATGGTTTCCTGGCCCAACTCTGCCAGCTTAATGACAGACTAGTCAAGGAAGGGAAATTGAAACTCTAGGGCCCCTGCTGCCTCTTCTCAAGAGGTTCTCCAGGGAGGCCCTGGTTGAAGGTGTCCCAAGCCTCCATGTCTAGAAAATACACTGTATCCTGCTCTCAGCATCACAAGGCACATGCCCACAAGTCTGTCTCTACATAGTTCTGGGACACTTTCCCCCTGGGGAACATATAAAGAAGCTTGGTAAGGAGGGCATCTTTGCTCCCTGGTTGTCCTGCTGTAACTTATGATGTCCTTTTCCTTGGGGGTGGGGGCTCAGAAAGGAAAGGCCTGTGGCCTGCATGCTTCTTAATGGCCCAGGGCAAGAGGTCTATAGGAGTGGGAGGCCTGAGATGCTCACAGGGGCCCCTTATGACTTCCCTTCCCTTACCCCCAAATTGTGTCCTGAAAGAGAACATCAGCACTTGAGCCCTAGTAAAGGAACTATGCAAACACAGAACCCCTCCCCGCCACATCTGTGTCCCCAGGTATCCCTGCAGCCTTCCACACACTACGCATGGCAGAGTTCTCGCATCACAAGCTCTGAGGATGGGGCAGGGGTGTGTCTGTCAGCTGTTAGTGGATGGAGATTCCCATAAGAGGCTGCATTTTAATTATTTCCTTGGGATTAATTAGGTGGGCAACAAATTCTCCCAGAGGACTGTTCTCAATCCATAGAGTTTTAAAAATGTGAATCTTTGAAAGGTTGAATGCAGAATCCACAGCTTTGGAATATTTCTCTTGGACCTCTCTCTGTCACTTCATTTGTTAGAAGAGCGATGCTTTGGGCATGGTTTTATTTTTCTTTTTTAGAAAACAGGGTGTTGAAGTCCAGCCTATTTAAAAACTCCACCATTTGGAGAATTACAAGGGTTTTGTTCTCAATTATAGTGTTGGCGAGCCCAAGTCACTCGTGCTAACTGCTTTTTGTCTCAGTTGCTATTTCGAGACCTGAAGGAGGAAGCTGGCCAATGACAGTGTGTGTGCGTAGGGGTGTGTGTGTGTGTGTGTGTGTGTGTGTGTGTTTGGGTATACCTCTCGGAAACACAGCCAGGGGACAAGTAGGGGAACAAATGGTCCCAGGCACACACCCTGCCCATCTACAGGTGGCTCTTAAGGCTATCTGGTGCCAGTGCAAGTTCCCTGGAAGGACTCAGCCAGGCAGAAGTGAGACATGGCAGAGTGGCCAAATGGATCCTTTATTAGTGGTAGAGCAAACAGAAACAACCTTTTAAAAGACTTTTTTAGGGCAGCGCCTGTGGCTCAAAGGAGTAGGGCATCGGCCCCATATGCCAGAGGTGGCGGGTTCAAACCCAGCCCCCACCAAAAAAAAAAAAAAAAACTTTTTTAGGATGATATCAGGATGCACTAGCACTTGTATGTATGTGTACATTTGCCAGAATATAGGAGTTTTGTTTTGGATACAGTCTTGTTAGGACTTCATGTTCCTGTTATCATGGAAAGCTGTGTAATGCTGTTTATCTTTAGGGTCACTCTAAGCATAGAGGAGGTCCTCAGCCAAGCCCCTGACACCTAGCACAGGGTGTCTGATGAAAGTTTGTGGAATTAAACTCTTTGAATGCCAAATATATATAGGACATTGTTCTGGTGGGTGTGTCAGACACCCAGAAGCCTGAATTCATGGTAAGGTCACTGGCAAGGATTTGCAAAGGAGTCTTACCTGCACTGAAGGAAATATCAGGGACTTTTGTTAACTATGTAAAATTCAGTTTTAAATTTAAGTTCAGGCAGTATTAATATGTCAAGGTGGGGAATGTGCCTTTTTTCAGAGTTGACCAGGAGCTTCCAACTAGGACTAAGAGAAGCAGGTATGTTGCAAGGCCTCACTTCCAGGTGTGAAGATTTCTGATTACACAGGAATGGCCCTGCACAGCCTGGACATTCACTGTCCCTTTCTCTGTGTGATCATAGCAGCCCTGGACTACTAGGATGTAGCTTTTCCAGACACTGGGCTGTCCAGGTAGACCCACCTAAGTGAGACGGCCGTCCTCCAAACTGTGTGCCTCACTTCACAGTTTTCAGGTGGCCTTTCTACTTAATCTGACTTGAGCCTCACAATAACCCTGTAAAGTTGGTAGAGCTTATTCATGTATTGTGATCTTTTCAAAACAAAATAAACAAAAAAAAAGGGAACTGGGTTTCAGAATGATGCAGGGCGTGCCCCTCCCCCTAGCTCTTTAAGGCATATCTGAGGTAAGATTTCGGGTTTGCTGCTCCCTGACACTGGGTTCTTTCTTTAATACAATACTTCTCAAGAAATGGGCTCTACTGGAGTATCTAATTGTGCTGCCCATGACCTTGACCCCAGCCCTGGAGTACGAAGTAACAAGTATAGGTCCCCACCTGGGTTAGAGTGTGCAGCTCTTCTTCCAGGTGACATGTAGCACTCTTAAGTCAGAGCCTCTTCTGTGCTCCTAGATTAATCACTGGGGCTGGGGCTCCCTCCCATGCCGAGGCAGTGGTCACCCCTTAGGAAGCCACAGCCACTGTACTCTTAGGTGAGCACAGCAGGGTGATGTGGCTGGTTAATCTAGGACCTCTCCAAGGCCTCTCTGTGTGGGCATGAAGAAGAGAAAGCCATTGGGAGAATTACTGCCTTTATTTGGGGGCTACTTTTACGTCAGTAACTTAGGATTTCTTGATAGCTTTTCATCCCTGAAACCTCACGAGATTTAGCTCCTAGTACTTTACAGTAAAATAAAATTCTATTGTGTAATAGCCAACACATGCCCAGCTGTGAGTGGGAGCTGTCCCCAGACAGTTTTCCACCCCCTGGGAAGTGATGGGATAGGAACTCAGGGTGCCCTTACTATCCCCACCTAACCCCCCATCCCTTTCTTCTGCTGACAGCGCCCCATCTGGGCAAAAGCAGAGCGCCAAACGATTTTCTTCTCAATTTTACAGCAGTATACCTTTCCACAGGCTGGTCTGTTTCCCTGCCACTCTGATTTATCTTGAGAGCGGAAACCTCTACCTATCAAACGAGGGAACTCATCTAGAAGACCTCTAAGGTGCCTTTTGGCTCCGAGGGGTCTCTGGGGGTCCTTACTTGGAATTTAGTACCGCCGGGAAAGTAGGGTAGGCGAGTAATATAATATGCTGGCCAGCAGGTGGCGCTGCGTCCCCGCCGTAGTGACAGATGGTTCAGAAAGGGGAATTTGATGCCTTTTGTGCTGCAAGTTAATGTTAAGATGGTAATGTTTTAATCAAAATAAGCACTGACCTTAAATATGAAGATATTTCTTTTTCATAAAACTTGTGTTAGAAATAATTGAAGAGCCAACAGCGATGGTCTTTCCAAGTCAAGATTTTATCCTGATTGGAAATAGAGGCCATCTCAAGTTGAGAGAGCAGATTGGTTGTAAGCTTAACTTTTGTTCTCTCTTACTTCCTGCCAAATTTTGAAAGAGCAAATTTTCTGGACAGAAAAGGGGGAGGTATAAAATTGGCTAAAAGAAAAACAAAACCAAGTTTAATGTTCGCTGTATCACAAATCAGTGTTAAAACACTAAAATTGTAACCAAAATAAATGTCTTACATTACAAAGAAATTGTCTTTTCTGTCCTTCTTATCCCAGTTGATTTTTTTTTATGGTTTTATATCTAGGTTTTAGGTTTGTTTTTTCTGGACTTTTAAAATAATTATCATCTAAAAATTAGCCATCCGAAGCTAGCTGTAGGTTCCATGATGGTCCTATTTATGCAGTAGCTATTTATGGAGCATCTCTCTCCAGTACCAGAAATGTTCTATGTTAGGAATATTCGTGGGTGCAGTGGTTCACCCAAAGGAGGGAGGTCAGATTTGTATACTTAAGAAAGAAAGGAACTGGGATAGCAGGCTCAAGGTGGCCTAACATGATTGGGTGGCATTTTGGGGTTTGAGTGATCCTGCTAACAGGCAATCCCCAAATATATTTCCTGCCCCCAGATATCTTAACTACCACTATTAGCACTATATTCCTTTTCCTCTGCGGTGGGGGGTGGTTTAGAGAAAGGGGATATCTTTTCTCCCAGACAGAAAAAGCCTTTCCAGGCAGAGAAAGACCCTCTCTAGGTTTCTGCCCCTTCTGTCACATGAACCAATTAGACTGGTTCACTATTTGTCAAACCCCTTTGACAACATAATCTTGATAGTTTTACACAAAATCTTAAGGCAGAACAGTAATAGATAGAACTGGTAACAGTGTTATTAAAGTATTTAAAACATTTGAATGGAAAGTTAGTACTATGTGTCCATAGTAATACATTTAAACAATATAAAGACCTATAATGAAAAGTGAGACAGACTCCTTTTACCCCAAACCTTTAATCTCTCCAAAGGAAACCACTAGTAAGTGTCATATCCTTCTAAGAAAAATTCTATACATCTGTAAGCTTACTGATGTGTGTATGTGTGTGTATATACAGATATCTGTGCTTTGTTTTTACCCCAAACCTTTAATCTCTCCAAAGGAAACCACTAGTAAGTGTCATATCCTTCTAAGAAAAATTCTATACATCTGTAAGCTTACTGATGTGTGTATGTGTGTGTATATACAGATATCTGTGCTTTGTTTTTACCCCAAACCTTTAATCTCTCCAAAGGAAACCACTAGTAAGTGTCATATCCTTCTAAGAAAAATTCTATACATCTGTAAGCTTACTGATGTGTGTATGTGTGTGTATATACAGATATCTGTGCTTTGTTTTTAAAATTTTATTCTAGTTATTTCTTGGAGTTCTACCCCATTCATGTTAACAGCATATAACATTCCATGTTTATGGATGTGCAAATAAAGACAGGGTGATTTGTACATCTCTCAATGCAGGCAGCTGCCTAAAAATGAGACTCCTCTCCAAATCCAAACCTTCCCTTCTTAGCACTAAGGAGTGGGAGCCAAATGTGTTTAAAAATGCAGCCAATATGCAGAACCTTCAGTTTCCATTAATTAGAGGGAAGAGCCTCCTCAATAACCAAGTATAGAACAAAACAAAACCAGACGACCTCTGAGGTTCTTTCCAGTTCAAAGAGTCTACAATCCCAAAGAGTCAAAGGAGCATAATAGACTTTCCAAATGTGGCCTATCTTTCAAAGTCTGGTCCAAACACCACGGCTCACCATGAAGATCCCAAACTTACCCCAGGGGGAAGAAATTGTTCTCTCCTTTGAAGGTCCTTAACGCTTTGTTCTTAAAAAAAAAAAAAAA